TTGACAGATGAAAACAGAAAAATATTCTCTATTCGAAATAATGCACTGCGAAAGCGCAACTGTTGACCTAGAAGTGCTCCATTCTGAACCTAGTTTGGACCATCAACTTGGTTCCGCGCATCCACATTCTGTGACTGGGAAATTCAAAAATAATCGGCGCATGTCCACCAATACAGTGGATCACTTTGGTGCAGGGTACCCACGACAATGGGCACCAAGGAGACTGTGACTTCTCCTACGCCTTGGAAGAAGGAGCGTAATGCTAAGTGAACCACTCGTTTGAGCGGATATGCGACAAGACAATCGTAATATGCCGTACTAATAGGAGTAGCAAGTAACGCTACGGCCGCGAGACAAGCTGTTTTGCCTGACTGTTCAAATTTCGCTGTGAAAGGGACGAGGGATCTTTACCATTCAGTATGGAGCCTTGCATATGTGTCTCTGCCCCCCCCCCCCTTGTTGCGTGTTCACAATAGTTTCGCTGCTCCAGTCGTGGAACTGCCGCACACCGAGAATTTGTTGTCACGAATCGCTGGACGGAGCGCCGCGCTCGACGGCGCGGCAGACTACGATTATCTTGCCCATCTCCCACTCAAGCAAAAAATGTCTATTAAAGACAGCTCCCGCGATAAAAGTGTCATGGATATTGCTTTTCAATTATGAAACAGTAGCTGATAAGTAATTCCCCAAAGAAGAAAAAAAGCAAGAAGAGTCCTCAAGAACACTATAAACAAAATCGCTCCCTGGCAGTCACACCTTCCTGCGGTCTCTGTGCAACCTCCTGGCTCACCAATTCCTTTATCACATCTCCCAGTAGTGGGTTCATCCAATGCAATGAAAAGAATACGAAAAACAACAAAAACACGGAAGAAAAACTCTTGAAAAGAAAAGAAACTTTCAGAAACCAGGCGTCTGAATTTAGGGTACGGTAGCGTGCATCTTTTAGTGTAGTGTGGTGCGTCGAGCTTTTGCACCACGAAAATTGGGTCGCTCGTGATTTTTACGCGTTTTACCTTGCAAGATGGGTTGGAGTTGACTGTGTGTGCTCCTAATAAATAAACTACAATAAAGGAGAGCAGAACCATTCATGGGCACGCGCGCGTCAGCAAAAAGGGCATGCAATTCCGATTAATGCCCGCCGCCCCAACAAAGAACAACTGGGCGGCTTTCCCTCAGGGACATCTCGCAAGTGGGCGGTCCAACTGGGCGGGCGTTAGAACTAGAATTTTTGGCACTATTGAAGTATTCCTACCCCATGAACACCGCCAAAAAAAAAAGATGTTCTTTTCAGGTGAAACACGTTGCCTAATGAGATGTTAATTCGATTGCGCTGATTCACGAAATATATACATTCCAGTTCGAGCAGCGGCGTACATATTGGCGCCCATAGTGACGCCTTGATGCGCGGTCCTGATTACGACTATCACACTGGTTTCAAGCGAGTCGGCCCACTGGTGCGCCATCGCTATGCGCGCCAAAATTGGGTGCGAAATGGCACCCAGTGGCGCCAGCGCCGAAAATGAATGTTGGATTCGTAATCAGGACCTCAATTAACCCCCATATGCAAGTTTTCATCAACTTTGGTGAAAAAAGTGGTGGGCGCCAAATTGGCGCACAATGGCGCCTAATGAAACTAGCGCTCGAAACAGATGCTATATTCGGGTCAGCGCATCGAATTACATCTAAATTATCATCTAATTAATTATCATCTATTCATCAATTACATCTATTATTTTGAGTGTTCTGGGGTAGGAATAGTTCAATAGTGCCGAATTTTTAGCAGCTGTAGCTCGCTCCTCGCTCGCTGTGGAGTCGCGAGAGTGGGATAGTCTCTAGCTTGGGGGCTGTACTACTTGCACAAGGAAGGACGACCATGTACTACTCGAGCGTGGGGGCTGTCTTTAAGCTACCACAGTACCCTAGTGGAACAGCGCCAAATACGTCGGATTTCAATGAAAAAAAAACTTTTCAAACTACTGAAGACATGATTCAAAGCTTGAACATTTCAACAAGATTTGCAGCTGATTTGAAGTAATAAACTAAGGAGGAAACAACACCTTTCTCCTGGTGTCGGCCATGCCTGTAGCGCAGACGACTGCAAGAATCAATACCAGCATCCACAGTCTCAACGAGTAACTGCTGATTGTGAGTTGCACGACAACCACTACTGATATGGGAGCAGAAATCACCAAATGCGATACACTTCGGAGTGTTACAACGAAAACCAATAGAGAAAAAGTCTACAAATTTCTTTTATTACAATCCGAAATTATTAGGAAGCCATCAAATAGAGTATTTCGCTTTTTTTCGACGTACAAACATATAACGAAGGAGAACACCTGAGATCGGATGATCAACATCAAGGCAAATCATGAAAATACAGACAGCAAATATTACAGCAGGAATTGAAGACAACACTGGGGATTGCCGCGTTGGCGCGGTCCTCTTCTTCAGCGGTGTTCAGATTTCGCGATGACGCGCTTCAACGCGCTACCGTTGCAGCAGTACTCCAGTGCTACAGCCGGGAACGCAGCCTCAGACAGGTACCGATCGGTGCCGGCTGCAGCTGCTTTGAGAGATTATGGGAGGAATAAGAGGGTACATAGTACCTAACCACGCTGTCTGGTACCCTCCTATTCTCCCGTACTTCTCAAGCGGTAGCATCCGATGCCGGCCGATACCAGTCTATGGCTACGTTCGTCTACTACACTGAAGCGTTGCTTCAACGGTTTCGCCTCGACGGACATCATCACGAAGTCTGGACGCTGCCCTCCCACCACTGAAGGCAAGAAAGGGAGCGGCGAACCAACAACGTCGTCTGCTGACTCCACCCACCCGGCTATCGCAAATGATGTCTTTGAACACATCAAACTATACCTATCAAACAGAGAAAATCAAAAAAGCGTCACCGATTTGTCGGAGAACATCGAGAAGAAGTACACATATGAACCAAAAGTCGCGAAATCACATTTTCAAAAAAAAGCTGTAACGCTGCATAAAATATATTAGTAAAACATCTGGAACATAGAAAAAAAACAAATTACAATTGGACATCGAAGCAAGTGTAGCACAGGTGCTCAGTCAAATACCGAAAAGGGTTCCTGCGAAGTAAGAAAATGAAATGACAGCAACGACCTGCGCCCCGAGGGGGGCGGGAGGGGGGTGCTCCGAAACTGATGAATACTAAATACTGAAGCTTTTTTACGCATAAAATAGTTGGTCTCGTAATTTACTGGATTGCGGACCCCTGCTACACCTGTTCATAGGACACCTTCATACATACATATTTAGTGCAAAAAAAGGAAATCAAAGCTGTGTATTAAAGAGTCTTCTCGAGATGTGACCTCAAACTGCGTGGAGTTCAAGTAGCGAGCAATCCAACCATTCCAATAGATCACTCAGCAGATGTCACAGAGAAGATGAAAACGGAATACCAGTACAACAAACCGTCCAATATTGAAATTGTAAAGAACGTTACTACCATTAAATAAGCGCGACTAATACGCAGTCAAACTCAACATTAAGAAAAAAGCTTATTAGAAGTAGAAAAAGTAAAAATACAAATGTCTCAAACACACTCCTGCAATACGATATGTTCACGATCTGTTTCAATCAGATCGAAGAAAAGGTTCATACGGACAGGAAACTCGTGGTTTTGGTTGCACCTCTTCCTCATTTGACGATTTTTCAGCGCATGTGCACTCATCAACACACATCGCACAGCTTTCTGTGTCAGCGACTCCCTTGCTACTGCCGTCAGATTGCTGTGCCTCTGTCTCGGATGGTACATCATTCATCTGAAACCGAGTCTGGTCAAGTTGTAGATGTTTTCCAAACAATTTTGAGATGAAGAATTCACACAGTTCAAAATTTGCTGGTTCAGGGCAGTATTCTGACCGTCTTTCTTCAAACAGTGGATTAGCATTGTAGACTTTTTCCGGAGGCAGCGTTCATACTTCGCGACAGCAGCGGCGATCGCGGCGGCCTGGCGATCGCGGCGACCTCGGCGATCGCCGCGATCGTCGGTACATGGCAGAGCGCGCCCCAACGCTATTACTTGGACCGCTCCGAAGGCTTTTGGGGAGAAGCGACTCAATTTCATGCTTTTTTTCCTTTAACTGCAATTTTCTTAGGTACTGAAGCTTGGTTGACACAAAGAGTTGGTTTGACACTCATTTTAATGCTTTCTATTTTCTTTCTTGATTCAGGATAGAAATGAGCAAAAAGCGTGAGAGCTTCATTTAGGGTAGGTTTTTATTGTTTCTTTTTTCATTCGTCGAGCTTATACATGAGGTTATAAAGTTTTCACCTGTTGATGTTGCGTAAAATGATTAGTGTTTTGGTTCCTAGGTGAGTTTCTCTCTTTTTTTTCTTCGTTGTTTGAACTCGACTTGTAAACTATGTTTTGGAAGTTGGAACAGTTCAGACGATAGGAACTTTTAAGGCGCTTGCATAAATTGAAACAATAAAAACAAAAAAAGAAGCTCACCCAGGAAATGGAGTTGGCCTTATCCCGACCTAAAAAGAAGTGAAACCTCCTTACCTCATATTCCAGATCCGCTTATGTATAGAAAGTCGTAAGTTATCAGTTAGTAGCCATTATTAAGAAAAGAAGGTCTCACAAGTTGGATTCCCTTATTTATCAAGCGAGCGGTCCATAATAGCGTTGGGGCGCGCTCTGCCACGTACCGACGATCGCGGCGATCGCCGCTGCTGTCGCGAAGTATGAACGCTGCTGACAGTTTTTCATGGTGAAGCCTTGATAAGCCCAACATTCAGTAACGACGCGTTTTTCAATAGCCTGAAAGTTCGGCTTGGTGGGAGCACCAAATGGTACTCAAATGGTTGAGGAGATAGGATATGTGGCTGATAACATTAGCCCCAGTATCTCGCGTGCACTGTATTGCTCATTTTTACGACGCTCCTACTTCAAGCGGCGGTCGGGTATTGTTTCTTCTTCTATTCGTCTTCTGTTGGTATTCTCTAAACTTCCGTGCAATCCACCGTCTGCAGAAGCACCACTGTCGGAAGTCAACGCAGTTAATTCCAAAAAGAGTCAAAGCAAGGAGCCGCCATCACCTTGCTTCCGCTGTGGAGGACAACACTGGGCCAAGGAATGCGAGTTTGTGGAGAAACGCTGCCACTCGTGCAACCGCGTTGGACACAAGAAAGGCTTCTGCAAGAATTTCAACACACGGAATTCTCCGAAGTCGAAGAAGAAGCACAGAGGGACGAAAGTTGTAGTCGTTGCATCCTCCACCAGCGACCCAGTTTCGGCAAGTCGCTCACCGTGCAACTCCAGAAGCACTTCACTGCTGTATTCGCACCAGGACTGGGATGCTGCACAAAATCGAAGGTCTCTCTGAAACTCAAGCCAGCCCGTCTTCCGGGAAAGCCCGTCCCGTTCCCTACGCCGTTCAACCTCGCATCTCACAAGAAATCGACCGTCTAGTAGCTGCAAAAGTCCTGACGCCGGTCGATCACTCGGACTGGGCCGCTCCTGTCGTCGTCGTTCAAAAGAAGAATGGAACAATTCGGCTGTGCGCAGATTTTTCTACGGGCCTGAACGACGCCCTTATGCAACATCAACATCCACTTCCGACGGCAGAAGAAATATTTGCCAAACTGAACGGAGGACGCTATTTCTCTCAACTGGACCTGGCCGAAGCGTACCTTCAACTGGAAGTAGATGAAGATTCTCGACCGCTCCTCACAATCAATACACATCGCGGCCTCTATCGGTTTCGTGATTGATGCAGAAGGAAGTCGACCGGATCCTGCGAAGCAATTCAACGAATGCCTGCACCGAAAGACGTCGGCCAACTTCGAGCCTTCTTGGGCCTAGTCAACTTCTATGGAACGTTCGTCAATGGTCTGCACAACCTACGCGCCCCGCTGGACGCACTCACCAAAAAGGATGCCGTCTACTCATGGACCCCAGAGTGCCAGTCGTGCTTTGATCGCATCAAAGCAGTTCTCAGATCGGATCTATTACTCACACAATACGACGCTTCACTGCCACTCATCGTCGCAGCAGATGCCTCCAACTATGGTATTGGAGCTGTTCTCTCCCACCGATTTCCGGACGGAACCGAAAAAGCAATCTACCATGCCAGCCGAGCCTTGACTCCAGCTCAGAAGAAATACAGCCAAATCGAAAAGGAGGCCCTTGCCCTAATTTTCGCTGTTCAGAAGTTCCATCGATTCGTACATGGACGTCATTTCACACTGAAGACAGACCATAAGCCGCTCATGCGATATTCGGAAACAAGAAAGGAGTCCCGATTTACACAGCGAACCGCCTTCAACGATGGGCTACTATACTACTGAACTACGACTTCAACATGGAGTACGTGCGGACCAAGGATTTCGGTCAAGCTGATGCTCTTTCTCGTCTGATCGTCGCACAGTCACCTCAAGCGGAAGATAAAGTCATCGCTGCCATCGACGCCGATGTCTCTGCCGAAGTAATGGATCACTGCCATCACTTTCCGGTCTCGGTCCAAACTGTGCAGACCGCGTTCTATCTCAAGTAATCAACTGTATTCGAACTGGACGCTGGCCAAAAGTGGACCGCAATTCACCACTCTGGCACTTCTACAACCGACGAGATTCCCTATCAACTACTGACTCATGCCTTGTAACTTCAAGCCGTATTGTCATCCCGAAGTCTCTCCAACGTCGAGTACTACAAGCGCTCCACAAAGCCCACCCAGGCCAAACGAGAATGAAGATGCTAGCTCGAAGCTATGTCTACTGGCCATCGATGGACTCGGATATCGACAACTCTCGTCAGGAATTGCACTTCTTGCGCAGGAGCCGCCAAGAACCCTGTGAAGACCGAGCTCCAGTCCTGGCCAAAGTCAACCAAGCCATGGGACCGAGTACACGCGGACTTTGCAGGTCCTCTGGAAGGGACATTCTACCTGGTCGTCGTGGACTCATTCTCAAAGTGGCCTGAGATCATCCAAATGAACTCCATCTCATCGTGTGCTACAATCAGGACTATGAAGAAGATGTTCGCACAGTTCGGAAACCCGAAGACGCTCATCACGGACAACGGCACACAGTTCACCTCCAGGCAATTCGAGGAGTTCTGCCGTCTTCGAGGAATCAAACACATCCGCTCCCCTCCTTTTCATCCACAAAGCAATGGGCAGGCTGAGCGTTTTGAGCGGACTATCCAAACTGAAGAGGGAGGAAGCAACATCGGATGCACTTCAAACCTTTCTGATGGCATACCGTTCAACGCCCTGCATTTCGGGACCAGATCAGCTGTCGCCGGCCGAAAACTTTCTGGGACGTCGAATGCGCACACAGCTGGACCTGATGATGCCCCCTCCAACGAGAGCAATGCACAACGAGACACCGGAATGGAGCGACAATTCAACAAGCATCATGGAGCACGACGTCGCTACTTCGATATCGATGATGCTGTCTACGCCAAGGATTATCGAGGAGCAAAAAGCACATGGACGCCTGGCGTTGTCGTACGACGTCTGGGCAAGGTCACTTAGCTCAAACGTTGTGATCACGCTCCTATAGTCGATCAACTGCTGGACGTTTTCGATCTCGCTCCACTCCGCAATGAACGTACCACTCCCGCCGATCGAACGATGCTCGACAATGTTACGACGCCAACTTCATCCAGTCTCTCGACGCAGCACAACGGTTCAACACCATGCTCATCGGCACCGCCAGGACCACCACTACGACGATCTTCACGCAAACGTTCAACGCCGCATCGACTCACAGTGGATCCTAAGAAGAAATCATACGATCTTACTTAAAAGGGGAGGTGTTGAGGAGATAGGATGTGTGGCTGATAAGATTAGCCCCAGTATCTCGCGTGCACTGTATTGCTCATTTTTACGACGCTACTACTTCAAGCGACGGTCGGGTATTGTTTCTTCTTCTATTCGTCTTCTGTTGGTATTCTCTAATAAATCTTCTACTTCGACGCCACTACAAGCCTGAAAGCCCGGCTTGTGACGGCACCAAATGGTACTCAGTGAAGCTTGTGCAGGGGCTCGTGAAGAATCTGTGATGTCCCACAACCAAAGTGGCTAAGTTGTCAATTCGTACCGCTTCCATTTTTCACCGAAGTGAGAGCTGTTAACTAGCCAAAAGTAAGCAACTAAAATGCAGAACGTCCCCTCTTCCAACCCCACCCCCTCATCCCGAGCCTAGTAGCGCCACCAAAAAACATTTCGCCACATGTTAACGGCAAACTATCCTGCTGAATGTGTTTGCTTTCCTTGGCCAACTAAAACTTCACTCATGGACGCCAGAAGTCATACCCTTTGGTGAAGCGCGGGGCCATGCTCCAGGCCACCTATTTTTCAAAGTTCCTGCTTGAAAACTATGCCAAACAATCCGAACAGCTTTAATCAAAGCTTATCTAGCCACTACGCCAAGCACTTTTTTCCTCTTGAAAACACCAAATTCATTTTTTGCAGCCCCTCCCTCCTCGCTTTCTTTCCAAAACAGCAAATTCTTCAAAGAAACTCATTGTTATACAAAGAGCACTATACCTGCACATTGCACGTGTCAATTTCATCAACGCTTTTTCGCTCTTCCACAGAGTCAGTGCTATTCCGACGCTCCAAGGTACTATCTATTGCTGAAAGGCGGCGACTTCCAGCGGATGATGATGACGCCCAATTAATGCTAATGCTGGAAACACTGTCCTATGTTATACTGAACAGACCTCACAGAGAACTGCAAGCTTTTTTCAGGAAAAAACTGTTGGTGCCACACTCACGGGATTGGCTGAACAAACTCCTGCGGTACATTTGAAGTGTGCGGGGTGCTGCGGTCAGTGACGAGTGGTGAAGTGGAATTGCGCACGAATACCCCCGTTACAGCGCTACTTCCACAGCTTCGCTTCGCATCTACCTCATCAACGCCTGCTGTATACCGCCGCTTGAGAGCAGTCTTCGTCGTGATAGGAGAAAGGCTCCTATAAAGAAAGAGTTCACAAGAAGGGCAATTACATTAGAAAGGGCGGAACGTCAACAACTTTCCTTCAAATGATAACAATCAATAAGCTGACTTAGTACCTAAGCAGTCGCTGCCTTGTTGGGCTCTGGGTCGGGCTAGGAGTAGCAGAGTACGGCATATTCGGTCGAACCATTTGGTGAGTTGAAGGAGAGTAGCATTGCTGAAAGGAGAAGCTCGCCAGAAAAGCTTTCAATACGCGAAAAATCCATTTTTGTCGCACCCAACTCCCACATTTCCAAATGCAGGTGTCCATAAAGGGGATCAAGCAAACAATTCCTGACTGTGACTCTTGAATGAAGCTGAATAAACACCTCGTGAAAACTAGCCAAATGCAGGGGAGATCTGTTAATAGCTATAACGGCCCACCAAGATAATTACATTTGAAGGCAGTTGGCACGATGGTTTCCTACTTAGCCTTAAATGCTAGTAGGGCGCTATGTAGTGGGGAAATGGCGAAAGAACGGAGTGAAACGGTCAAAATCCTGCGAAGAAAAAGCCTCCGTTCTCAGTGACTTAAATCGATTTCGGACGAGTTTCCCGTAGGCATCTTGCCAATCACCGCTACCGAAGATACGGCTGCATATGTGTACCCATATATGCATGCAGCATCACGGCCGCTTCATACCAATCCCTTCGCTTCATAATTTGCTTAGCAAATGAATGAATACGAGCGTCAGGAACGGTCGTCCATTTGTGGGCGGGCGGGCGTGGCGGGCGTTTGGGACGTAAAGTTGTGGCTTGATAGGGCCCTTATAAGGGCACCTTCCTTGCCAGGAGTATTGATCCTAGTCGTCTTGGAGGATTTATCGTGCCAACTGCCTTCAATGATATCTCCCCGAATGACCGCCCAAGGTACGATGCTTTGGAAGCGCTGGATCAAAAGTACAGTGCGTAAGTTCCACTTTGTGGCGACGAGGAAGCCATAGTAAGCAGCGCCACGAGAGGCCGCGTTCATACTCTGCGACGGAAGAGATCTAGCGATCTAGTGATTTGGGAGATTGAGCGCTTTGGCGATTCGAAGACTCGGTCGAGAGACTTTTGAGATTGCCGTGTCTCACAAATCTCCGGATCGCTCGATTTCTCAAATCATCGGGTCGCCCGAATTTCCACAATCGCTAGCAACCGGCGTCACCGATACGCATCCGCTCCTTTAGCGCGCAATCTCTCGAATCGCTGTTTCCCCCAAATCGTCAAATCTGCCCAGTCACTAAGTATGAACGCGGCCTAGACAGTATCGGGGTGGTGGAATCTAATACAAAATTAACGCTACGAGACCTGCACCAAGCCCCCATAACGACCCCACCTTGTGCATATCCGTTACTCTTGTTGGACTAGGTGAACAACTGTGAGGCAGAAACACGTTGGTAACGATCGATATTGGTTCCCCTACAGATGATGCAGATGGGGCTCGCCGGCGCATCTCCTGAATACTCATGAAGATAGAACTGAAGTGTTCTGATTAGTGAATGATTATTCAGAAATCCAGACACGGAAAACCTTACCATTGCTGATGATGATTCCAAGGTAATATCATCAAAGCCACACGAAACTTGCTGCGACGTTTTTACGAGACGCTCGTGCTCCACCTTGAAAACCCTATTTATTAAATCTAATGGTTGCATCACAAAAGGAAATCAACAGTCCTTAACAACGCTCTTAGTAGATATGTAGAGGTTTATGAAGTGCATAAAATAATATATTACATAAACGAACAACGAATAGATAAAAATCAGCGACAGGAAATGATAATTTTAGCGCTACCCGATTGAATATTCCAAATATGACGAGGTTTCTATAATCAACATGATTACAAAAAATTCTTACTCCCAGTTCCTTAGTTTTTTTTTTTTTTATCACTGCTCCTGCCCCTGGCCCTTCCTGTTCGAATCCTCCCGCTTCATGAGCAGGCATAAAGATGTTTTGCGCCTTTTTGATGAATAAACAGCTCGCCACACAAGTAAAATACCCTTCACATCTCCAAGTTGTCCCTTCTTGTGAAGGCGCTTGGTCGGGTAGGTGACAAATTGAAAGCTTCGAGCCATTTTCAGGCCTCTGAAGAAGACGAGAAGGTCGAAACGTCGGGCCAATAAAAAGGTTCTATCTAACAACCTCGTTTGGCAGAAATAATTCAACACCCTTCACATCGCATAGTGTCCATATTCGTTCAAACATCCATCAATCTTTTTCTAAGCCAGGCACTACCACGCACCTCGGTTATCTACTGGAACAATCTTTGTTGCACATCCCGCTTGGTAAAGGTTCATGCAATCAAAACAACGCTAGATAAAACAAACAAACCAGTCTATATTATCTGCGCCAGCATGTCAATACAGATGTAATATTATATTAGGTTAACACGCTCCGGACCGAGTGACACACATGGTTGTCATGGATTTGTGCCCATCCTGTGTTTTATTTGACTGTTTTGATTTTCCTCTCATGTTCTATTGTTGTGAAAACACGTTTTCGGTTATCGACATATCTTCCCTCATAAGCGATTGAAAAGAGGAAATTACTGACTAATCATTGATGAAAAATGATTTAGATGTGCGCGCAGTACGGCGGTCCGCAATCTGTTAAAGTAATTGCCGTTGATCAATCACTTTTTGTGGTGTGGTACGCAATGTACCTCCACTCAGAATCATGCTCATGCAATCACTTGCGCGGTCTAGCCCATTTCCAATAAATACGGAACTAATTTACCGTCTCACAAGGCTAGAAAGCTCGGTTATCCAGGAAGAGAGCCGATCCAAGATTCTACCACCGGAGCACGCGCGGTAACTATACCATGCTCTCTTGCGCAATACTGTTAGTACCAACAACTTGTGCTCCTTCGGCGAATAGTTTGTGTTCGCGCTTTGATAGAGTCAAATAAAGCTTTTTATAGGGTCAGTCGTCATCATCAAAGGTCCTCGACGTGGGTTGTATTGGACCAGCAGGAAGCGGTGAAGTTCTATGTGGAAAAGTCAGTGATGAAAAGAGCAGTGGTGACCTGCTTAGAGATGGGAGATGGAAGCGGAGCTGAAGGTCCGATGCTTCAGGGGACCTAGATTAGTGAGAATTCGCGATAAATAAAACTCCTTTATCATCAGAGGATGGTATAGACACGCTGCCAGGTTGCAGAACGAACGGATCACTTTCCCTTGACGTTAAACAATGAACATATTGCCAAGTATTCTGTAGGCAGTTTGCGTATGATCCAAGTGTTTTCTTCGGTTCTTAGGGCTTCTCCTTGTAGAATGAAGTTGGAAGGAAGTGTAAGTGTGTGGAGGGGGGGGGTGCACTGGCCACGAAGTGAGGACCCGAGCCGACACCAGATGTGTGCGCTCTTCCAAAGCAGGGCCTGAGGCAGCGAAAGATCATTGTCTCGTTGACGGGCGGACCCAGTCGTGCCGCACCAAACTTTGAAAGTGCGTTCATAGTTTGCGTCGGCGTTTTGAGCGACTGGGAAAGTATAGGTATAGACTCGACATTACGAGAGCACGCTGATGAAAGGCCGTACGCTCAAAATGCTAGCGCAAGGTATGAACGCACTTCAAGCGACACCTGTACTATTGGCAAGATAAAGGAGTGCTAAAAAAGGACAACACCCACGTAACCTAGTACCTTTTTAACAGCTGAACATCATAAGAGTCTCGTCTTCAGGAAGAGGTAAGTGAAATTATGTTTAGGATAGAATGAGCGAGCTATCCCAAAGAAAAAATGTAATGTGGTCAAACGCTACCTCATTATTGAGTGAACAGTCACTTTCACGACGAATGTTGGCAATTCGTCCTCTTGGAGCGTCCAATCTTCGAGCTACAGGCAAATTAGACTCTGCCGCCTGAAGGGCACAGAACCTAACTTGTCTTCACTTTTTCAGCATCAAATGAAGTAAAGGTTCACTAGGACTGAACCAACTTTAGTCTTGCTCATTTTTCTTACGACTGGTTCATCACCATCTATTGATCCACCACCCACTGTTAGTTCACTGCCGTCCGAATCGCTCGATGATGATGACAACTTTCGTGTAGACCGTTGAGCGCTAATACAGTGATAATAACTGTACAAAAATCAAGCTGATGATTTTCACTGGGTAATGGTTTACCGGAACTTTTCCATCCCTTCAGATGAGGATTCTTTCGAAAGAAATGAACCATCCAACGAAGAACGGGAGGAAGTTTCGGAATCGGCAATGGAACCTGAACGCAGGAAATTTGAAAAACGCAAAACAAAGCATAAAGAAAAACCTACTGTTCAAGAAGTCAGGCCGGGGAAAAGGACAAAAAGCATTTGGAGATGCCTGATTGAAATTGAGGAATCTGAAATCGATCGATAGTGTAAAATTATAAAAAGTGAAAGCAAAAGAAAGGAAATTCAAAAGCGTGAGCGCGTTACTTACGGTGATTGCCTATGAATAAGCCCTCCTTCATGAACTTCTTGTTCACTGATGAATGAACAGTTTGATGGAGCAGGAGAACACCCTTCAGATGGCAGCTCCTTCTCCAGAAAGCCATCTGAAATTTGAGTAGATCGACACGGAGAAATCGATATCTTCAGGAAAATATGTTGTTTCTGCGTGCATAAGCGTGAGTCATGCGGCAACTTAAGCGATAAACTGGGGGCCTGCTAAGGAGGCATACTGCCTTGGTTAAGCTCGAGGGACGAGACCGCGCGCGAACTCTGATCGCCCTCCCCAAGGCTTACCCTTTGGATGACAGCGATCATTTCGCCGCATCGCTGAGTACCCTTCCTCTCAACTATAGCAGGCCCGATACTGGACCAGCACAAAATAGGGCGCTATCTCCTAATAATAAGATAGTGAACTAAAAACATTCAAAAACACGGCTCTTTTCGCACAAAGTAACTGGTTTGCCCACGCAGGAGCTCCATTCCCCTATACTTGCAAGGAAAGGTCAACGGCTCAGTCTGGACCTCTGCAATAAAGTGGATACAGGTGCAGGCAACTCGAGGGTCTGAGCTCAAATCTGCTTTTTTTGACTGAATTTGAATAGCTTGAATGACCCTGTGTAAGTAAATACGAAGCTTCCTTCCTCACTCTGGCATGTCTTACCTCCTATATTTTCCATAAGAAAAGTTGGCAAAGTACTATTTGCAAGTGTTCGAAGTCTACAGGATAGGCAGGGTGGCTCACAGAAATAAGGCCAAGGACTCGAGCCTTTCATGGGCGCCTGCTTTTGCCTTTCTCCAGACTTTCAGTATGAGTACAGAAAGTGATAAGAGTGGTGTTAAGTTATCTTGCCGATTTGCAGTTTCTCTTGGTGTAGAGGAGATTCAAGCTGCAGAAATCGTAACCTTATCGCCTCTATGGCAATCCCAGTCCTCCCGAAGATCCTAAAAAAAGTCGGTCTAGCCGACACAATCGCTGTAGGGCAGGCATGAACAAGTCAGGGTTTTTTGTTGTACCAGATGCGTGCTCTATAGAAGGCATGGTGGGCTTATCCCTGGAGGTACCACAATCAAGGTGCGGCATCGATGTACCCCTGGATACTTGGCTACTGAGGGGATGTTAGGGGTGGGTAAACGTCTCCTGTGGAGTTCCACAAAGAAATAAGCATTAATACATACTGTACGACCCATTACTGTATGATATTAGACCTAGTCACAGAAAAATGGAGGATGAAACATACTTGAAGGTTCCAATAAAGCATTTTCAACGACAGAAGTAGTAGAACTTCCAAGACCATTGCACTCTTCAGCCATTTTGTAGACTAGTAGAAACGAATAAGTAGAGCGACAATCGCGATTACAAAAGTTCACCGTTCGCTTGATCGAAACAGAAACACCGCGAGCGCGATCGATGTGGCGCACGCTTAGAATTCAACGGCACAGCGTTCTCGAATCATCATAAACAACCCTGAAACGACATCACACTCAATCAATACTTCGCCTTCACTTGTGAACACCAATACTTCCATCAAAATATTATTTTAAAATAAGGCTCAGGAGAACTCAGTAAAGCAATAGAGAGCAAGAGACAATTAACCAGAGCTAAGCAGTAGTCCGCAACCAAACTAGGAATGCCCTACATCAAACCAAATACCAATTGTTTCAAAGAAAAGAAAAAGAAAGAAAGCTGGCAGGAAAAGCCATATTTTAGGTGAAAAGACTTCAACGAGACCACTTCGATTTGCAGAGGCTCGTTCAGTTCAACGAGATTAAGATTTAAAGGGCGTGAGATGTACTAGTTTGCACTGGGGCACGTTTTTTTTCAAGAACGAGACTGGTAGCGGGCAGATCAATAAAGGTCGAGAAACTCGAAACGCGTTTTCTAGCTATGTGTTACTGCTCAAGTTAATGTGAAGAATGTTGTAAAGAGTGATGTCGTTAAAAAGATTGGAAGAATCTGCTCGCTATCGCCGACGAGATTATTCGCTGCACGTTGCCTGACAACATCCACTCAGCCGAGAGCGCCAACTAGCAGCAGCTGAAGCACGTGCTGGGCCAACATTAAGGCTATCCTCACATTCTGTACTATTGGAGAATCTGCGGGAAGAATAGGTCTAATGAACCAACCAGTCCGTTCCATGCTCCCCATGAAAACTCCGCTTTTGTGGATCGATACGTATGTAATCTATTACATGGCCGACGACGTTTTTCCGACCTGAACTCATCCTGCCGGTTGGGAAAATTTTGGAGAATATGACCTCCTTCTGAACCTACCTGCCATCTTGCCGAGTCATTCTAACCTCCTACCACTTATTCCGGAATTTTTCAAGAGTTTTCAGATTTTCCCCAGGAATGCCTCGAGCGGTTCGGCGGGGAGGGCGGTGATGGGGAGGGGAAGGAGAGGGAAGCCGCCACCAAATAGCTATTATTCTCAGCTGTCGACAATGGTGGTTGTATAGAACGCTGACAGCGCTATTTAGGGGAGAGGGGTCCCAACAACGAGCAATAACGACCGCGGGCGATCAGGGCACGTCGTACGCTAGGGAGTCCCACCGGATCGTATTCGGATGCTGAAGGTACAGGTCGTATTCGGCCTGAGAAATTATCACTTCACAGTTAATTTTTTGTTTCACGACAGTTGGGAGACTACCATTGAGTGACGGGGGAAGGAAGGTGTTTTAAACGCTCTCCAGCGATAGGAAGTCCAGGTCAATATTCCTCTGGACCAAGTGGTTCCTCGTATATTCTATACGTATATTCAATACAATACTCATATATTCCCCGACTCTTCGCCGCAATTTTTTAGACGTTATCAACCCTGAAAATGTCTGAAATCACATGTTCAAGGAAAGTTGATTGATGCCCTTTCTCCTCAACAAAGAAACTCCCCCGCTCATTAGATTTAATAAGTCTTACAGCCTGTGGGGCAGAGGTGGTGTAGTGGTGAGGTCACCGGGCGTTGGTGAAAACAATCGTAATTTGCCGCTCCGTCGCGCGCGGCGATGGGCGCGGCGTTTTCTTAATTTGCATTAGCCTGTCGATTAGCACGCCGGATTTCATGTATACAACGATAACGTGGACATTTCTGGTTATTTTTGGTTAGACAAAAGACATCGTCTTCTGCCGACACGATGTCGTATGCAAGGCCCATCAGCGCCCCAAAATTACGAATTGTAAATAAATTGTATTGTCACGTTCCCGGGGACGTCTAGCACGTGTGTGGTCAGAGTCAAATCTGGGTTCAGCGCCTCCTCTTGTGCACCAAATTTCCATCGTACGAAATTTAGCCATGAGGGATAGATGCTGTGAAGGCTTTGAAAAACTGGGGGTTAGGGAACTGCAAAGTGTCCGCGCTGATAAGTACATATTTAGGGACAGGGTATAGCAGTGAAGTGGTGATGTAGGTGCGACCCCCGCCCCCGACAGAGAATGTTAGTACGACCAACCCTCCCCCCACCTAAATGAGGTCTCTCGGTACGACTCCCCCCCCCCCTTCCGCAACACACCTATATACCAATTTCCCACATGTTCCAGTTCCTTACCCAAAGATTTTCCGTCAAGGCGGAAGGGGGGGGGGGGGGAAAGGAGGGGTACAACGCAGCATATTTCTCTTAAAGGCAGTGTCCGCGTTCACTTGAGAGTTCCCTCTAACTTCGCGAGCTGGTAGCCTGCTCCGCAAGGGCAGCAATTGCACTTAAGAGTGAATTCTTAAGAGAAAGAATGCATTTTTCACCCAAGAATTTTCTATCGGTAGGGGAGTGTCTGCCAGATCAGGGTACTTCTGAAGTGGTGGTATGTTTGCTTATTCTGCGCAGGTTTAGACCCAGGATATGACTCTCGGGAAGAGCATCGCGTTGTGTAAGTTCTCTGCTGAACACAACCCTCTCTTTACAACCTCTTTCGTCTTGTAATTTTTCCGTAATTCTGTCGGAGGCGGTGTTGGGGGTGGTTCAGTGATGTTTTATATCAACGGCAAGAACAAGAGGAATAACCTACCTGGCCTGACCCCGCATCGCAGAGGGGTAGGGGGCGCACTCAATGAGGGATTGTCGTCTCAGACTGTGAGACGACGATGAGGGAAGGGATCGTCGTCAGAGACGACGATAGGCGGATGGCGGACACCTCCAATCAACTACTATATAAATAGAGGTTCTACCATGCAAAAAAAAACGGAGCGAAGGGGGGAGACACTACCAGCCGTTTTCTTGCAGACGCCTGCATGCGGTTGGCCAGAAGGCTCGTTTGCAGACGCCCAGATCGCTGTCAACTAACTGTTGAAGCAAGCAGGCGACAATTATCGGTGGAAAAGGGGCTGATGCCGCGAGAAACCCAGCCCCTGACACGCCCCAGCGTCTTAAGGGAAAACAACCATGTGTAGAGCGCGCGTGAAAGGGGAAAAATCGACTATTGGAAAATCATTCCTCGATGCGAATTACGACTCCCTTTCAAGCGACCAAATACGACCCCGCGTTGTTTCACACAAGACGAGGTGCTCCGATCTGACACTATAGAAGTTCTATAGTATAGAGGTCAAGTTACAGCATCGTTGGAGAAAACCCCATCAAGAGGGGTCGTATTAGGTCGCCGGGAAAAACGACCGTGTTCTCTACTTTTGGTTGTTAAGTTTTTCGCTTTTTTCGGTTTCATGGTTGCCATATCCCCGAGCTCCCCCAAGTCTCGGTTGCTGGAGCCAGGGCACATCATCGCTGAGGATTCCCCAACGAGGGGGGTCATATTTGGTCGAGAAAAATTTCTTGATAGTTGATTTGTTTTTGTTTCCCGGACGCTATGAGAGGGATCGAATTAGCTCGCTCTTAGGAGAGGTGGGGGTCGTTTTGCCTTCCGAGGGAAAGCTGCGGCGTTGGGAAGAATTTCTTCCGGTTGTTAACTCACCCCCCATAGCAAAATCTTGGGGAAAAAGTAGGAAAATTCCCGGGAAAGTTCGGAAAACTGGACAAGAGGTAGGAAGTTGGGGAAAATCTAAGGAAGTGGTAGGTAGAATGGCGAAGGGGGAGGCCGTATCGAACCACCTTTTAGGTGAGAGGTCGCATTGACTTGTCCAACATTCCCAACTAGTGATGGGCCCTGACTGGAGCTGCAGTACATACTACCACACGACCATAATGTCTTATAGTCAAAGTTAGTAACTGTTTGGTAACGACCTCCTGTCCCCCGCCTCGCCGCCCCTTACTGGCCGCTCAGCAGCAGTTTTTTGGGGAGAAACCTGTAAGCATGTTGCAAGTTTACTAAAAATAAAATCTGAACATTTTATTGCCTGGCGATAATCACTTTACAACAGTCTTCTAGCATTGTCAACGGGAAATTGAGGCAGCACTTTATTTAGTGAAATGAGGAAAGGTAGTTGAGGGGGGCTACGTGACGGCGCGACTATGCGTTGTCCACCGCCACTTGGCCCCTCCAACTACCCCTGCTCTAAATCCCCTTCGTGAGCCAGTTTTACGTATGGTTTCCAAAAACGCAACAACTGCTACTATGGGAGGTAATGGAACAAGTATGAAAAGATCAATTAATCTTATCGATTTATGCATCACATCAGTAAAACGGCAAAATCTTCATGTCTATGGATAACATTTGTGTACATATAAAAAGGAACGTACTACGTGGACATTAATGAATCAATCAATAAATTAATATACCGGCTTCACACCCACAAACTAGTCGTTAAGCTATGTTAGTTTAAACGGTCCATGAGCCGCCGGACTGATCAAAGCGCAGTTGATGGGCATTTATCATCTTCTTTTTCTTTCCTCTACATTATTCTTCACACCGGGTGACGCAAACAGGCGGAGACTCGCCGCTCGAGTCTCGCGAACCCTCAGGTCTCGATTCCCGCGTCCTAAAACGAGGGATCCCATCACTCGTTGGATAATCGTCTCGCATGTTCCCGTGGAGAGCATGGGCTGAGCTTATTCTACGACCCGAATTTTCTAGAGTAGTGATGGAGGATTCTAATGCTCCTCGAAAGCAATGGAATTAGAATGATGATGGAAAGACAAGTGGGATTGAAGCAAATGAGAGAAGCGGTGTAGATCGGTCGAGCTGAGAAGCTGCCGAAAAACATTCCATGGCTCGGTCCACGCACTCTCGGCGCATCAGGCAACAGCCTAACTCTTGCCACCATTGACAGTTCAACGGGTCCACTCGCACCAACTCCCTGAAACGAAGATTCTTCCAGCTTGATTAGAGACACATTCCACGAGTAAGCTCTGTATGGGGGAATATAGGGTAGACGAACAGCCCTGTACGGATTTCGCATCCAGGAAGTAGTAAGGTAGGGTCCTATTTAAGACTGTCACAACGGTTTTTTTATTTTCTCCTTACCGGCCGTGTCAACTTCAGAGTTGCTTCCCAATGATGCTAGGGCTTGTAAGGGAGCCCGAGTTTGGCGCCAGCCCGTTCTCTACCAAATGTTGTCCCTCGCCGGGTTCCACAAGTGGTGGAGAACGAACTGGCGCCGCGCCAAGCCCAGCTCCCCTGACACGTCCCAGCATCCGCGGCGAACATAGTGGAATCCCAGTGGGGTCATATATGCGCTCGACATTGGTCGCTATGGGTAGCGGGTAGTTACCCCAGTCGTGAAAAATTTTTCCGGTTGTTAACTTTTCTCGGTTCTTTGCATGTCATATCGCTATATCTATAATCCCCTAGTTGCTGGCGCTGCAGATGAGACCACATCCCCTTCCGCCCACCCCCCCCCCCCTCCCCCCATTTGGGCTACGTGAATTTTTGAGGAAAACTAGAAAGTTTTTCGTAAAAGACGTAGAAGGGTAGGGAACTGAGGAAAGTTGTCAAGATGAGGTGGGACGATGAGAGAGGGTCATAACAGGAGGAAAGTTGGGAGGCCGTATTCACAAAAATCCCCCCCCCCCAGGGGGAGGGAGAGGCCTGCTTCCCATCCGAGGAGGGTCCTCGCCATGTGCGAGGTGAATGGATCCTTGACTGCAGCAGTATGACTTTTTCTTCGCACAAAAGGGTACGAGGAACGGGTTGTACGCTCAAAAGGGTACGAGGAACGGGCTGTAGGATAGTGGTACCCGGGTGTCATCTCATTACTCCTCCTGCACTACCCTCAAGGCGCACCCAGTTGCGTCGGTACGTCGCCATCCACAGCGAAAAACGCACTCAGTGATAGAGAACAACGAGAACTGCGCGTTTGGCGATGGTTAGGTGTGTAGCTAGCCGTGCGGCAGCGCAAGCAGAATATGAACAAGGCACTTGTTTATTTTAGCCTTCCTAACCCGTTTCCGCACCCCTTTGACCGGGAAAGTAACACGTTACTGCAGCTACGGACCCCAGATGAGGCGAGGACTAGGGTCCAGTGTACAATTTATCTTCAAAGTGCATTCACAGTCCGTTTACCTGTACATTTGTTCAGCCATTGCAATATTCCCATCAGCAGTATAGAGTTTGGCAAGGTGAAACAGACTGGGTGTATGCGACGGACACAGAGCCAATGCGGATAAGAAGGAGGCCTGAAACCTCATGACACTCTAATATCACTACGCTCTCAAGAACAGAACTAATAAAGCAACTACATTTGCTTCCGCACGAAATTTCGCCGCTGTTGCTTCATCCGGTGCTTTTTCAGCTTTCGCTGCGAATAACCGACCCTGTAATGGACATTACACTCCTCAATGAAGTCAGAAAACTATACACAGGAAATGGCTGAGCACATAATTAGACGCAATTCGGCCTGGAGGGGCATTCTGCACTTGCGCTAGTTCGTTCTGCCAGTTCATGTTGAATGGCAATTCTCATTTTGAGGGAACCTGCAAACTCCTGTGGGACGCAATAGCTGTCCGAGTGAACCAGTTTAACCAGAAATTTACAGGTGTCTACAAGGAGTACAAGACTCTCTGAGAACCATTTGGTGCCCCCACTAGGCGGAACTGCGCCGAAATCTTCTAATTTTCAAGTAAGTAGCAACTTACTTTGAGGTACAAAGCCTGATGTGCATGTGGGAATAGAATAGCAGCCTGCTCTACGCATGGGGCGACATCATTCAGCCGACCTTCCGCCAAGAACAGCTCCGCTAAGGCCATCCACATATTCGCCTTGAAAGACAATAAAATTATTCGAGATTAAAAATAAATTAAACAACTGAAATTCCTGAGAAAAATGTCAGTCTTCAGAACTACTTAATCAACGAAGCACGTAAACAGTACCTGTGCCCGGAATCGCGTCCATACTGCAGGCGTTGCGCTGGCAGCTACTGCACCGCCATCACTGGAAGCTGACTGACCTCCAGCTTCAGAGGCAGGCACACCACTGTCTGCCGCTAAAAGGAACCAAATTCATATCATTCATTAGTAGGAAGCAAATCCACTGAAGGACATCCTACCTGATACAGCCATATCGAGGCCAGATTGGCTGCTGCCTACATTCGGATTCAAAATAGGCGTCCCGATTCCGATGCCAAGCGGAGTTGCAAATAGTGGTGTAGAGGACGATAGTTCTCGTCCAATTGATGGGGTACCTGTTGCGAGTAAAGTAGAAAAAAACGCATTGAACAAGTATTTGACCAATCCTCTTATGCAACGTGGCCCCGTGCGCCAATCACATCAGCCCGCCCCTCCCCTCCTCCCCACTCTCTGGGCAAAGCATCAGAACGGTTCTTGACAAGTGATTCTGAATGATTCTGATTCATGAAATTTCTTGCAGAGGATGGCCTAAAGCAATAAGTGTTACTGAAGTTGAAGTGGTCCTGATCGCAGTCAGCCAACACCCGAAGGATAAAAGGTTTCATATTTAATTATTGCTCCGCGATCTGATTCCCGTAAGTATTTGGGAAGTAGCCGCACCAGCCGCCACTACTCCATTTTCGACACAGCAAACGGTAATATGGGTACTCATCACATGCAGAAAAAATACAGTAATTCCTGGAAAGACACAGTCCGCGTTGACGGAGACAGAGAACCTCTGTCCCTTTCTCACTGGCGCCCGTGTGGTTTTTGCCGTCCTGGAAGAGGCGCCCGAAAGAGGGAGGCGAATTGGCTGGCTGTATCTGTCTGTACAATGGGCTAATCCTCCAGGAGAAAACTTCCGACGCCCTCCTTTTATACCACTCTTAACACTGGCAGGCTTTAAGTGGTGAACTGCTTAAAACCTTTTTTGTGAGCTATAAACGGAAATCGAGGTCGCTCACGATCAGGGATAAGATATTATAGACTGAAAAGGAAAGCCAACGGAACGGGCGCATGAGGTTTTCAGCAACGCGCTACTATCCCTTGTCCTGCTCGAGTGTTGAGGGGAACATGGTGTAGTAGGAAGTTGTGATACCCGAATTGCTTCCTAAGAGCCGCTTTCAGCCTTGATGGGAGTAGAATAAGTAGCGCCTCCACTTGGGCTATTGATCGATGCAGAATTTCCTGTGCTTTTTCAGCTGTGACCTCATTTAAGCTCACAATTACTCCGGGCCCGGAGTTGATAAAGTTCTTCAAACTTAGCCTCTAATATAACCTATGCAAGGAAAAAAGTTTCAATCACTATTACTCCGGTCAGTCGGAGCGCGTCAACGTCAACGCGGATTTTCGCGGTGCGCCAGCCTTTTCCTTCGAACGTTGCGGCTTCAGGCGTTCAATGAGTAACGGGAAACACGCCGGCGCCGCGCCAAAACCCAGCGCCGCTGACCCAGCCCGACTGGTTTCTGTGACAAGGAATCTTACCAGTTCCCTCGTACAGAGGTACTAGCAACAAATAGAAATACTCTGAGAGCCGCTACCAGAGAAAGAAGCTCTTTATTCAAGTACGCACCTCCTCTCACACTGGGTGCATCCTTCAACATACTCTGACCATCAGTCGCATTGAGGGTGAATTGAACCCGTTCATCTTCGATGCAACAGTCTC